TCTCTGGGCTATGACGCTAACTCAAAATTTCATGTTCTTTTATTTCACGGTTTGCTGGATTGCCTCATCTAGCACATTCATGCCAAGCATTTAACAGAATTCCAATTCATACAAATACCCATAAGTGAAATCTGTTGCAGTGAATGTTTCTGGATCCCCGAGTGCCGCTGACACCCCCTAAACAGGAAGAATGAGGAGACAGTCAAGGATCCAGAATTCATTTTCTGTGCCAAAATGATACGTTTTATACAATATCTAATTAGTTTTATACAATATTTAATACTGAAGTTAAGCAATACAAGTGCTTTTAGGATTCTGGGAGGCTAATTTTATAGTTATCTTAATTTGAAGAGCTAGAGACTAACTGACTTGCTATTGTAACAGAGATCCTGAGACAGCATAATTACCTGCTAAGTAATTTTTTAACAAAAATCAATATTCATGAAAATACAACAGCTTTGTGGCTTTCTCTGTGAATAAAATTATCTAATTTTCTACTAATATTCATTCTGCATTAATGAAACCAAGGGCTCTACTTACAAAATGGGAAGCAGAAATTCTTAGAAAAGGCAACCCATAGTCCAAGAATAAGCATCCTCCTAAGGAAGAGAAATGGACTTTATTTGTGGGGGTGGGATGTCAAAAAACAGCTTGTAGGAACTGTTTCTCTTCCTCTACCATGGGGGCTTCTAGGATCAAACTCAGGTCATCGGCCTTGACAGCAAGCCCCTTTACCTGCTGAGCCATCTCATCAGCCCAAGTTCTTAAATTTTAAAGAAAAGCTCTAATAAAAAATTATACTACCCCAGGACAGAATTTCACAACTTCATTGAGATTAACTAAAAATCATTTTAAAGCGACTTATGATTCAATATGATTTATTTTCCTCTTTTTAAAGTAAGAATTTCCCAATTCTATTTTGTGTTTAATGCGTTCCTCATTTATTTGTAATATTTCCAAGTAATTTTCTTTTTGCTATGAAATAAGCATTAATATTTCCATTGTAAAGATAAGAAAATTAAGGTAGAAAAACAGAAAGCAATTTAGGGAGTCAGAATATAGCGTAAATTAGAAAGCCGTTGGCTTAAATACAGTAAGGTCACCTACTAACAATAAGTAAATTCCTTTGACCTTTGGGACTGTCTTTTCATCTACAACAGAAACAATACTACCCACCTCTTTCCTGTAAGGCACAAACAAAGTGTCTAACAGAATGCTTAGCATGTAATCAGCCATTCGGCACAAGGCCCACCCACCAATCCACCATCCCATTTTCCTCATTTAGTACAATGGATATATAATCAATCCATAATGCCATTGTGAGGGAAATGAGCTACAATGAATGCAAAGATCCCTGGCAAGCCCAGGACTCCACTCATTTGATCCCTCCCTCCCTCTAGGTCTCCAAATATTGGTCCCTCCGTAGAACTGCCTCTGCACACACAGCTTATTTATAACACTAACTGAAAAATCTGCTTAACCTGGCTGCTTAATCTGTGATTTCAGGGTGTCCCAAATAAAATCTAACTCATTTCTAAGGTGGTTTTATCTTTGAGCTATTGTACCCCAAATATTTTAATGCCTCTTTTAAAATTATTTATTTGTCCAATAGATACTACTACTAAAATGTCTGCACTGTGTCCTAAATAACAATAAACTATTAAAAGTGCATTGTTTAGGACAAAACATATCTAGACATTTAAATTATTTCATTCAGGTTGACTTCAAAGATACTAGTTAGTCTTTTCATTTTTTTTCTATATTCTCCCAAATAAAAAGTCAAGTAGTAAATGTGGCAAATGAATACAGATTTGCATAGATAAAAACAAAAGAGTCAAAAATGTGGATCAGATACGAACATACGAGGCAATGACCTTCAAAACTGGCTACCAACAACGTTCTTCACAGGGGAGCAATTACACAAAATCCTCCTATGTATACTTTCGTTTCTCCTGGTCTACAGATACATTTCCATATCAGACAGGATGAAAGAGTAGGCCTGCGACTGGGAGAACCGTCTTTGCAAAGATAGAAGCCGTTCTGGTTACCTTAATAATCACATCCCAAAGGCCAGCTCATAGAACTGCATTATGAGGTGCCGCTAAGCCAATACCTTGGCAGTACAGCTGCACAACTGGAAGTGACCAAACACGGCTTTCATGACACCAAACCACTGTATATTTCTAATTCTGAATTGCCCTCCATGGTGTCTGGCTGTTTTAAAAGTCATAAAAATATTTCTAAAATAGACACCATATCTAAATGACAGTATAACGCTTCAAGAAAAAAAAAAGGAGTCCAAATCATCACCAAAAGGTTTAAAATATACAGTACTGCTACTCTTAAAGTACTGAAAATAACACTTAGCTAAATAAGGAGCTCACTCCCCCTTCCATGTTAAAACTGTACCGAGTTGTTTAACAAGTAAACACATGTAGACACACACATACATACTCACACACACACACAAAGAAAAATACAAAATAAGAAAGTTGCTAAGAAAAGTTCAATCTCCAAATGCTTTGTTTAAAAGCAGTATATTAAAAGAAAATTAGAATCCTGTAGATAATTGTCTTTTTTCAGATCTTTTCCCATATGGATAAAAACAAAGCAAATGGTGTAAAAAAGACAAATTCACTACAAGTCCTGTGTTTTATAGCCCACATCAGCATCTCCATGTGCAGTGATTAACACTGCTAGACCATGGATGGGGCCATAACTAAGTTTTATAACATTAAATTTCAAAATAAGAGTAACAAAAAGAAACACAAAAAGTAAAATATAGTAGACATTACTCCAGTAAGTTCAAGTGAACGTTAAGATATTTGTTCTCTTTAATAATAAAAACCATCCACAACTACAATATTAATCCCCCTCACCAGCTCTGAGGACAAGGGAGAACCACATGTGCACTTTTCTGATAGCCAAAATCAGGAGGTTAGAAACATTTTCAGACGAATCATGTTTCCTTTGTACTCTACACCTTGGCAAAAGTTAATGACCTACTGGAGAAATTGTATGTCACTATATTCCACAAAAGTATTCTTAGGATCTATGAAGTCTAAACCTCACACTGCCCTCGGCAGGCTATTGTACACATTTGTTAAATTTTTAAACGAAAGGATAAAGACTTTGAAAGCTCTTGACAATGTACTCAAACTGCGAAGGTGTCAATTCCATGTTTTCTCCTCCTCCATTAAAACAAAACAGGGAGAAAACTGTACATAGAAACAATGACACCATAGAAACAAAAAGTAGCATGCCACGGAGCTGGGCAATATACATACACTCTCTCCATCATAATCAATTACAAAAACCCTTTCACTTAATGGCTAGCATCTTTACGGGCGCTTAATCTGTATTAAGTAGCCTTCAAAAGATAGTCTGTGCTCTATTTCTACTCTCCTGGATTTTTGGCAGCAGTCAGCACTTAAGCTCAGGGCTTGGAGAGGGAGAGCGGCGGGGCGGGGTGGGGGGGGCGCTGAACTGGGCACAGTCAGCATCAAGAAGCTGCTCTCAGACACAGGAGTGTCTTTCTCACACGTCTCTGGTCTCTGTTTTATGCTATTGAGCATTGTCAGCAAGATGGATGGATGGATGGATGGATGGATGGATGACATCCTGGGGGCAGGGTCTACCCAGGCGGGTTTTTTTCTTTTTTTAATCACTTCTGAGTCCAGAAGCCTCCTCCGGGTTCTTGAGGGAAAGGAAAGGGATCAGGTGAGACCCTCCAGGGTCCAACTTAATTTGCTTCTCCACAAAGAGCAGTTTCTGGCAGTGAGCGCAGGCTTGGTTCTCTGGTAGAAGAATTAAACACGAGAGCATTGTCGGTGCTTTCAATCTCTGACTTTATAAAGGAAAGACTGCATTCCTGGGGAAAACACTACATGACTCCTGACGCGCCACACACCAGTAGTGAAGGGACCCGAGCCAGGGGTTGTAAAAAACCCTTTCAAAACGCCAGGTTCTGAACGAAACGCTGTGCGGCTTTGTTGCATTGTTGGCTTTTCCGTAAGTCTCCGATTCTCTCCAGCCACTGCCAACCTCCAAATTGCTAGGACTTGTTGCTAAATCTTTGCCTCACACCCCCCACCCCCAGAAATAACCAGCACGTTGAAATTTGGGGATCAAAAGGCAAAGAAGGGAGCTAAACCCTCAAAGCACAGAGGGCTGGGCGCCTTCAATAGGCCACTCTGCATGGGCTGCGCGTTCCGTCTGACTCACAAACGCTCGAGAGAAATTATGACATAAACCTTTATCCTTCCAACCAGGGAAATAAAGGCTGTCTGGAGGGCCTGGTGGGGCTCGGGGGACCTCAGCCCGCGTCCCGACGGGGCGACCCGGGTAGACGTCTCCAGCCCTGCCCGCCTAGCTCCGGCCGCCCTTCCAAGGTGCTACCTATCCTCCGGCTGGAGGAGCAAAGACCCGGGGTCCTCCGCCCGGGAGGGCGAAGAGCAGAGGAGTTACGGGTGCGGGACGCGACTCACCCCGCAGGGGCGCGCGGCGAGCGGTACCAGCCCCCGGCTGAGCTCGGGCA